TAAACATCGGAACGACTCTGCCGCGCGCATCATAATCAGAGAAAATTGTACAAATCAGACCGATCGCGGCATCGAATCACGACACCATCGTGCGATTCGACAGTCGCTTTTATTTCCAACAACACTCATGAAGTCATTCCAAGAGCTCCACAACAAATCATTTCGATCCATAAGTGAATTCGCTTGTTCACTTTTAGTCGTATGATGTACGTGTGCGGAGCTTAACTCTACAATGGAGATATATGATTTTCAAATTCATAAAGTAGTGGAATATTCTAGACTGGCCTGCATTACAAAAATCCAATAAAATTACACAAACAACTATCACTTGCTTTAGTAATGGATGCTGTTAGTAGTAAAATGTCTAGTCTAAAATTATAAAATATTTTGGTTAATAAAAAAATAGATACTTTAGATAAAAATCTCTACATTGAGAAAAAATACTCGAAAATTTATTTGTTGGATATAAAGTTTATTTCGTCCGGAAATACGTTTTATTTCACAAAAATAAACTTTATATATCAATTATTATTATAAATTTTTTAATATTTTTTCTCAAGTGTACGTGAAGGGCATGATTAAATAATCTAAAATTGTTGGATTTATATTCGTCTTAATACACAGAGACAATTTTGTAATAAAAAATACTGTATAATTTTGTGACCGAGAAATAGATCGATAATAACTGATTATCATGTAATTTCATAAATGTTGCTTATATTTTAGGAACTAAATTAAAAAATTTGCTACACCGAAAAATTATTTAAGAATTTGCAAGATATAAAGTTTGAATGTCCATGAGAGAGAAATATATAAAATCTATTTCTGTGAATAAACTTTATATCCCACACATAAATTTTCAAATATCTTTTTCTCAGTGTATATATCTACAGAAATTTACTATGAGCAAGTACATTACCTGACAGTCTATTTCTGCACTATTAGAAACATATATAGTAAAATGGAAGAGAATTTATATCAAGAAAAAATTAATATACATATATATATATATATTCTCCCCGTGTATATTGCTACATGTGGCCTTTCACATAACACAAACATTAGTGCGTCCAAAGCTGTCGATCTTCAGCAGCTTAAAAATGCTTCAGCAGCTTAAAAATGAAATAAACTAAAACAATAAAATAAATAAGAAATTCAAAAATTTCGTACGGCATATAACTTCAGTATCTACCCTAGAATTTATTTGTTAGCAGGAAAATAAATCTGAAAAAATTGAAATATATGAAAACCACAATGAGTACGTTCATTATGAAATGATGTTACACCACTAAATCCATCATTCCGTCGAGACGACGGTAAGATCGTGAAAAATCGTTGTTATCGAGTTATAAAATATTACAGATAGTCGTTTGTAATTACTAACGGAAATGAGTGGCACACGCCGAATTCAGTCTGCCTAGATTTTTTTTCTCTTTATCAAGTCCTCGCCGGGGATCTCCGAAGTGAATCAATGCTAGATAGAAATCCGATGTCCCGAAAATCCATGGCTGTCAAAATACATAACAGGGAGAGTAGTAGCATCGTACGAATGAAGGCTGTCGTATGGATTTTAGAGCATCGCAATGTCATCCATGACATCTTGTCGGAAAAGCAAATGGCGAAATCAATTTTTAGACACAAGGAACCGAAGCGGGAGGGCGGGCCGGAGAGAAAGAATTCCACGGCGTTTGTTGCAATTCCCGTTACCGAGGCGAAATCTGTCGTATTGCAGTTCGATTTATATCGCGCGGAGTCGTTTCTCCTTCTTTGAAAAATAATAACTTAACCGGACATAGAATCCATAAGCGAATTAACAGCAGATGCAACGAGTATTTCTGGTTAGTAATAGCGTTATTGAAAATTTACTCAATAATCATGCCGCGAATTCGTGCAAATTCTCAAAGGGTTATTAAAGGTAGCCGAAATGCAGGAGAAAATAGACATCAAAATGTGAAATCGTGATAGGCATTTATCATGGCGCGATTTATCATGGACTGTCGACCTGGCTGCCTCAAAGTATCAACTTCTCAAACTTCGTTTCCGACTACATTTAGATACCTCATCTTACCGATCTGATATCAAGTAATCAACACGAGCACAAGAGAGCGAACTGACAGCACCTCAGTTCGAACATTTTTCGCCAAAACGTGAAGAATATAGAAGAGATTTCCACTAGTGGTGTCAACTTCGAATACACGTATACCACGTGCTTGAGCAACAAATAAATGTATATACAGAAAATTTTACAATAAAAACTACTTACTATAGGAACTTGGAACCGAAGAATAGATCGACATATACTGAAGTAATTGACTTATCTTTTCATTTTGAAATTCTCTAAAAACATAATACAATTAAAAAGAATTTTTACGAAAAGAAACTATAATATACTATATATTATAGTTATAGTATATGTACGTATGTATGTATGTATGTATGTACGTATGTATGTATGTATGTATGTATGTATGTATTCTCTCCATGTATAATGTTACTAAAAAATAAAATATAAAAAATGGATATATAATGGCACTAAAAAAATTATTTTCGTTTCTGAGTACTCGGAACAGTACCCGTGAATCTGGGTATACGGATATAGTAAATACCTGGATTATATTGGCAGTATTCTCATTTCGATCAGGAAACGCCGATACCGCCTTTCGCAAAGTGCAGAAGTATTTATCCGTAATGGGGAGTCTCGGTTCACAATGCATTAAAATATCGCGCCCTCGTCCTCGTCTCTCGAGGAGGTCGATAATAAAAGTAAATTCTTCGCCATTAAGAAAGAAAGATGCGATCGAGGCAGCTAAAGCGCCAAGACTTAACGGCCTTATCGCTCGCGCTTTATCGGTCGTGACTGATAAGGAGTTTGCAAGCGTAAGACGGCGAAAGAGTCGAACAGGGTCGTAACGGTAGATACCTAGCGAGATAAGGAGGAAGACAAATGCAAATAAAATAGCGGCACTCGTGATTTCTTTTTCTCTTTTACTAATTGATCCTCTATCTGGATGACATGTCGACGAAACGATGAGAACGATAAGTATCGACCGGCTCAAGTATGCTTAGAAGATAAATGGCGCGCATGAAAAAACGATCAGATGAGCAGATCCAATCAATTTTTCGTTTCTTTCTATCAAGTTGTACTAAAGTTTGTGTGACACACTTTAACGTACAATTCTGCAAGACATTACGCGTAACGAAGAGACAAGTATAGACGTAAGAGACGCAATACGTTATGCAATAGAAAATTCGGAGTAAGATAAGGAATAAGGAGCGAAAGAAAAAATATCGATAAAAAGCTACGATTGATTCATCTTTTCCTACATCCTAAGTCGAGTCTAACTCTACCTCATATTTCGTTCCAGGAAGAGTTCTACACTGAGAAAATATTGTGACAAAAATTACGTCAAAATATTATATATATATATATATTTTTTTTACAATATTTCTTGTAAGGCTACGCTAAGAGGAAAGAAATATTTGAACATTTATTTGTGAGATATGAAGTTTATTTTTATGAATAAACTTTATAACCTCCCTCCCCCATAAATTTTCAAATATCTTTTTCTCAATGCAGACTATAATAAAATTATAATGTACATTATCGTAGAAATATTAAATCTCTCTTTAGTGGATCTAGCTGATATACGATATAAAAAAATTAAAGCACTTACAATTTTCGTTAAAATTCTGTAGAGCCAAGATTACAATTTCTACTATAACATTTTCTCTGCGTATGATCCATTTTCTATACATTCTGTATATATTCTGTATTGCATATAAACATGTTATTAGAAATGTGATGTGTTTTTGCTCCAGCTGAATGCCAAAATACCAAGGGTAAATACGTACTGCACGATATTGTCGAGGAAATACAGAGTTTTTGCAGACCGGTTGGAAAGAAACGCCGATAATAACTCGGAACGCAGAGAGGTTAATAATTCATTGATAAGCAGCACTCGAAGTTACGCTTTTACGGCCGCTCGTCCTCACTCAGGCCAACACTCATGTACCGAGAATTCAACCTGTACACTAATTGTCAATAATGCCAAGCCATCTATAAGGTCATAGAATATTGGAAAAACAGAAGCAATAATGAGTGAGACTCGAGCGATAATCAAAAGATGCCGAGCCATTAGCAAAACAGCCCAAGTGAACAGAAACAGTTGGCTACAAGAAAGAACATAGCTTTGTTAATAAGTTTTGTTAACGAGTGCAATTCGTTGCAGCACAATTTACAAGAAAAAAGAATCCAAAGGAAAAAATATCAAAGCAAGCCATGAATAATCTACCAGAGAAAAGAATTAATATCCACTTGAAACTAGTCAAATTATCATATCAATAATCATTATTTCATATATAAACAACGATATGTAATTTGTGAGAAGAATTTTCAAGTCTCAAAATAGTCTTTCAGAAATATCATATTCTCAATTCAATATTTTATACTTTCTATTCGTAAAAATTATTTTTGAATACTAAGAATTTGCTTGTCTTTTGTTAAGAAACTTATCTTCGTTTAACGCAATCACATTTCAAGATTTGTATATCAGAAGTAAATATATTTTCCAAACAAGAGTATCCTTTTCTCTGTACATACAAAGATCTCGCGGATAACGACGAGGAATTAGCGCAGCGCGCGAGCTACGTCCGAAAAATCAGAGGCATCGATTAAAAGAACCTGACGAGAGGAAGAAGATCGGGATTTTCTCGAGAGAACAGGAAGAGACGAGACGAGAGCGCCGAGATGCGTCGCAACGCGACGCGAAGGACGCACTGAGAGTCGCTCAAGGGAGGGAAACTCGCGCGCTCGGTGGGGATATGTTTTACTCCGGTAGGAGGCGGGTGGCGAGAGTGAACGAGCGAGCGCAGGAGAAGAGAAAAGAGCGAGGGGGAGAGAGAGAGAGAGAGAAAGGGGAGGGAGAGAGGGGGGGTACTCGTGTCGCGCGATAACCGTCGCCGAGGTGCAAACCAGCCGCGAATTCGAAAGGCGGCCAGTCGCTGTTTGCGCGTCGACGGTGACGCGTCGCGAGTCGCTCCTCGCCACGAGATCGGGTTAAAGTCGATCTCTCGCGCGAGTCCTGCGCGAGGATACGCGCGCTCGGTGATCGCCGCGAGTGTGTCCTCCTCTCGTCCGGCCTGTCGGTCGGCCGGCCGTTGACTAACGAGTGTTCTCTTGTGGATGAGAGCGTGGTAATACTGCCGCGAGTGAAGCAGCATCTCTCATTACGATGGAGTAGAAAGAGAAAGAGAGAGAGAGAGCGCTTAGAGATACACCGACTACCGAAATAATCAAGCAACCGATCGGCGCGACGCATAAACTCGTTTTTTTCACGGAGGGAAATGTGCGCCCTTGGAATATGAGAAATGTCTCTCCTCCTCTTCTCTCTTCTTGCTCCTACTGGCCCCGTCGTCCCTTACCTGACGATCCTCCGGCAAAGGATCGCCAGCGCGGCACGGAACGCGCTGGCGATCCCCTCGCGACGATCGTTGCATAACGATCGGCGTCACGCGGCAGCAGCTGCATCACGCGTTCCGGGCCTCTTTTCGCCGAGAGGCTGCATAAATAACTCTGGCCGCGGCAGGATCGTAAAGCGAGGCTCCGGGTCGGGTCGATCCGCGGCATTGAACCGTGAAGCCGATCAGCCGCGCACCACGACACGACCACCGGCGTCGCGCAACGACGAAAGAGAGAAAGAGATTCCGCTTGTCGCGACGACCGGCGTCGAAGTTTATTCCGCGCGATCGCGCGTCCACGTCGAGAGTGCAGAAGCTCGCTCGGATGGACCTCTCTCGTCGCGAGCGTAATACTTGATTTCCCACGTGGCACGGTGCGGGCGCGCTATCTCTTTACCGCGCCAGCTGTGAGGTCGATTAATCGCTCGTTTCTCACCACTGGATGCCCTGCCCTTTCTGTGAAAAAGAATCGCCGTCACGCGAAAGACGCTTAATTGTCGACATTACGCTCGTCGTGCCGACTCGTTGGTTGGACGTGTTAATTCGCCGTCGTCGGGATTCCAGCAGCGAATACGGCACGAGATTCGCGGCATTTGCTTTTTTCTTCCCCTCTCTCTCTCTCTCTCTCTCTCTCTCTTCCCTTTTGAGGGCGTAACGTCGTGAACGTTGTCGCTGCTGCTGCTGCTGCTGCTGCTGTCGCTGCTGCTGCGCGTAACGAGCGACGTGGACCTAATCGCGAGAAGAGCAAGGGGAAATTTCGGGAAACACGAGTACACGCTCGTCGCACCTCGCGGATGATACGCGGTATCTAAAAACAGAGTCGCGAAACGCGCCGCGAAATCCCGGGAGGAAAAAAATTTTCATACGCCTTTCCCGGGGCTCATGGGCGCAACAAATGTCGGGAGAACCCTTCCTCTCTTTCCCTCGCTTTTCTCGGCTGCTGTTATCTCGAAATTGAAAACAATGCCGCGAGACTAAACATTCCGCCCGGCGTTGCTCCCCGGTGTTGCATACATAACGTTACTTGAGTTACGGGGCGCAGGGCCGCACGTGCGGGGCGGTATAAGTTATGCGCTGCACCTGGATTAAACCGAGACGTCGAAAGATATCGCGCCTTTGAGAGAGAAGTTCGATCACGGAGAACTGGACGGTTAATATCGCAACACTGACTCGCTCGTTTTGCCTGTAACTGCCTGTAACGTTGGATTCGACTAATTTTTATCCCTTCATCGTCGATGTCATCACTCCGACAAAATTCCTCCGTCACGTAGAGTCCCACGTAGCGGGACGTCAAATGACGTATTGATGAAACATTAACCCTTCATTAGGCGCGTCGCCTGTAGGTGTAATTTGAAAGCCACACGAGAAGATATTCAAAAACTTATTTACGAGATAGCAGCTTCTTTTACAAAGATAAACTTTATATTCCACAAATAAATTTTCAAGTATTGTTTGTATATCATTAGTCAAAAATATACTGCTTTTTTGTGATATGCGTAGTCTGCTACTTATGTTGTATGTATTTTCGAAAAAAATCTTAGCAGGATATGTATCTACAACTGGCATAAACTACCCGACTAGTCCAAATTATCACGAGATGTCAAAAGAATAAAATCAAGCAAAGGGATGGATTCATGGTAGCTATTAGTTTCCGCAAAATCCTGGACAGTAACTACACAAAATTTGATCCAAATTGGTCAAAGAATTCATAGGAATTCATAGAAATTTATAGGGAACGTACAGACAGACAGATATTCTACTTTGTATATATTATACTTTGTATATATATTGTAAATGGTGGACCACACGCTCAATATAGGTTTAATAACGTCTTTATACGTTAACTTTATATGTTAACAATACGTCAACGACGTCATCATGTATGCTGAAATAGCACTCTGGGTATGAACGCATCGATATTTGTTGGATTGTCATCCTTTGCGAGAGCGCGCGGTTGTGCAAAAAGTGCAAATCTAAGGGGAAAATCAACTTTTGGGACTTCCTCTGCGAACAATGACATATCGATGTGAAATCGCGGGTCGTTTATCGTGCAGCAGGGATCCGTCTCGCGCGGCATTTTCGTGGCGCGTGCGACGAATTGTTCGGAGAGCGCCAGGGAAAAATGTGTCGTTCGGGAAAGGCGGTCGAGCGTGTTCTCCGTAATGTAGGTTATCGCCGACGCCTTGCGATACCAGTGTCGTGCCGCGCGTTAAAACCGTGATATCGATAACAAGCGGAACCAATATTTCGCGAGCGCGCTCCGCGGCACTGGCATTCGTTATCGTAACAAACATGGAAATGAGCGAGCGTTTTCTGCGCGTACCAATGTTCTATTCAAACAAAGTCACCGGACCGTCGCTTCGGCCTCATGTATCTCCTGACACGCGCGCGATTTTATTTTTTTCACGCCGCGAATCGTCGCCGTTTCAGCTCGGTCCAGTCGCGGTGTAGATATCGTGGCGTTGTGAATATTCGATATAAAAATCACGAAAAGTATGTTGCAGCTTCGCGCGAGGAACAGAAGTCACGGGGCCAATGAGTGGCCGATTGAGTTTTAAGTAGACACATGACCTTTCATCTGACACAAAATCTCTCTCATCTCTTGTTATAAGTGATTATGAACCAAAATATGTTTTGAACATTAAATAAGTCTATAAGCATCACGAGTTCAAGGTCTACACTTGACCAATATTTCTTTACGTAATGTGATTTGGAGAAGCATTTATGCTTCTAGGTCAATTGTTCTCTTATGCGACTCACGAACATTCAAGAACATCTCGTCCCGGTTAGATATTTATCCCAAACTTCTGATCAGTTTGGTCCCAATTGGGTTATCTGATTTGCATAAAGTGATGAATCATATAACATAGAATGGCAATCGGGATCTTGTTAATAATAAAGATTATTAATAGTTAGGACCTGATAATATCACCTTATCACAAACCGCATGGAGAGAATATCATCATTTTCCTTACATGTAAATCCTTTTCAACTTTATCATTTTTCTGATAGTGCAAGAGTAGAGTAAAGCCTGCTTCTACAATGTGCCCTTTACTTCCCATTTCTTTCTCTTTATCTCTTTCTGACTTAAACCTCAAGCCTTAAGCCAAAGAAGAAGATAGAGAATAAGAAACAGAAAGCGAGGAGCACGATCAGGTTTAAGGAGCATAGTAAATTTTACTGGAAACAAATTTTAGCTATGTAGCTTTCGTTAAAAACACAGCAAATTTTTTTAATAGCATACTTCAGTTCCTTAAATATAAGTGGCACATGAAATGAAAATATGGTGAATTAGTGCAGAATGTCGATCTATTCCTCGGGATTATAAGATTCCATAGTAGATTCTACTATAAAATTCTCTCAGATGGATGACTAACTGGGATAAACCTGATCAAAGCCAGGAAGTGACAGTCGGCATTTGACGATTTATCATAAAAGACGTAAACCATTATTGAATACGAAATGTGAAATAAAGGCAAGATTAAGAACTCTACGCCCTAGAACTCTAAACATCAAAAAATTATGTGAAACTCTAAGCATGAATATATTCTACCCAGTGCATTTTCATTTTCTCATAACTTCCAGAAAAATGACCAAAATTCGATCCTTTTCTTTTTTTAATCGGTGCAGAGAAGAATATGAATCTATTGATGTTCTTGTGATTCAGTGAAGATAAAAATGTTATAATGCAAAAACAAAACACATGTTTTTAAGAACGTTTGAAAAGTTGGTCTGGCTAAATTTTGCCGATGTTTCAAGTTCTAAAGTTAACGAGAGACGATCAGTCAACTTGCTCCGTGCGGATCGTGAAAATCTGTCGATGTTGTGTTCGCGTTTTTAAACGAGATGTAATTTTATTGTCCGCGCGTAGAGACGTGCGCGTAGGAACGAGACACAGGAATCAATCGCGTCGATTCGCGCCGATGCGCCTATTCTACCTCTGATTACGAATAAAATCGCGGAAAAACAGAGCCAGTGTCGGAAAACGAACGAAGGTACAGTCCGGATAGGACGCGATCACGGCCAGTGTTTCGATGATAAAACTCCAAAACGCAGGCGAAATTGCGGCCGGAACGAGTGGATCGCGCCGAACGACGCGACTGCGCTCGGACCATTGCGGCCTGAATTAACCGATTGTGACAATGGAGAAAAGCTTATTAATAATCAATGCTACACACGATCACGCGCGGTGTATTCTGCCTCTTATAATACCGCATTAATTCGTCAACCGCATTGTGAGAGAAAGAGAGAGAGAGAGAGAGAGAGAGAGAGAACACGCGCGCGTACCTCTAATGACAGTCGACTTTATTCGAACCGCATCGAATTCGCAAACACACACGTGCGCGACCGAAGCAGGTCAAATGAGCAATGATGAAAATCGATTAACTGTTTATCCGTGACACGGTGAAATTATGCACGTGCCGTAATCGACGTGACAATACATTCGGGTAAAAATTTCACTAGCCGATCATAAGCTGATAGCTCTTGACAAGCAAAGACACCAGTTAGTGCGGGCTAAACAAAATATTCTAGCTCGTTACCAACTCGTTTTGGTTGATTATTCACTGAAACACAGAATCGAGTTTGTCATCTGACTGCTGTCATCTAGTAATTGCATATCAAATATGATAAAGTAGATGTACCGCGTCTTTTCTAAAATACATAATCTAGCTATTATGTCGCCACTAGTTTTATAAAATTAGATACATTGAGAAAAAATATCTAAAAATTTATATGTGGAATATAAAACTGATTTCTGTGAAATAAATTTTTATCCCATAAATAAGTTCTCAAGTATTCTTTTCTCAATGTGTAGTAAATCAAAATTGAGGCTGCGTTCATTTCATGAAAATCTCAAGAAGACAGAATTGAATCGTTATATTAGAGTGATTAACAGCAATTTTGTGCGACTTCTCGTCTTATAATGTTAATTTCATTCATTTAATTATCAACTTATTTGATGATTAAACTTTCACTGACTTATTTACTTAGCTATTAAGAGAAGTGAGCGGTTACATTATTGACTAGTAATGATATTGGACCCAAATTTACTATCTCATGATTGGACCGACGAGATTCAATTTTTAACAGGGCAGCTCTCTCGAGCCAACGTATTTAGCGATGATTCCACGCAGCCGTATTAATTAATCCCGCATGCAAGAAGACACCGTTGTGGTTTTGCGTCGCATGATCTTACGCGGATCTCCGTACTACTAAATGGAACGTGATCGTGCAGCGCACTACAATAAGTCGCGTTATCGTCATTAATACCGAGTGGCTCAACCTATAAATTTCGCGACGACCTATTTCCCGATCTACCCGATTATCGGTTCCGCCGACCACCGACACAAACGGTCCACAGAAACGACGATAATGATGAATACGCGAAGTGCACGGAGAGAATAGCGTACACTGCAAAACTTTTGTGCTAAGTTTAACACATTTCACATATCCCAATTTATCCGCTCCGATTTGTATGTTGATTTGACACAAGGCAAATGTGTAAACAAATAAAACAAATAATATGCGAGAAATTAACGCAAACATGTAACATTTGAGCATTATTGTTATCATTGTACTTAGAAATGGTGAATGTGAATTCAACGAAAAACAATCAAAATGACACTATATTAAATTGACACACGGGTATATCAAAAATTTAACACAAAAATCTCCACACGCATCAATTTCAGCATAAATACAAAATGGTTTTTTATCGTGTAGTAAAAGTTACGTTAGGATTCTATTTCATTTTAAAATGTTTTTTTGTGAAACTGGATTACACTGATCGAATCGCTATAGAA